GTAATTACCAGTGACCTTCTGCGTTTTTATAGGCTCCTCTTAACACAATCCTAGTAGGAATAGGATAGTAGAAGTTGGCTTGAACTCTACTTCCTTAATCTTGATCCACAAGTAGCCTTGAGAGTTGGGATTCCTTAGCACGTACAACTGGAGATATTATCATGTAATCACAATCCCAATAGGTCTCTATATCAGATTGCAGCTTAAAATCCCGTGCTCAGACCTCTGATCCCGAACAGTGTGTTGCAGCATCGTGCTGTAGCATCTTCTGTGTCACCCTCATAAACTGCTGCAACTCTAGAAGTCTAAATAAATTAAACCTCTCCTAACAAATAGAGGTTTCTACCTAGTACAACACCTAACAAATATGGGATTCTATTTTGCCAAAATATTAGCCAACACCATGGAACCAATAGTACCTTCGTATGTGATCATGAGCTTGTTCCACATTTGGTTGGCGGTTTGGCAACGAGATATCTTTTGATAATCGTTGGCATTGACAACACAATACAAGAAGTTGATGGCGGTGGCATTTAATTGAGCTTTCTTAAAGTCGGCTTCATCATATTCATCATCGTCCTTCAAGATGAGTGTATCGCCTATCTTCTTCATCGGCAAGCTATCTCCATTCTGGATAGCAAGCCAAATTTTGAAGTCGTTTGATTGAACAAAAATCCTCATTCGCTCCTTCCAATAGGAGTAATTTGTTCCATCAAAAAATGGCGGCCTTACGGTGGATTGTCCTTCTCCTATCCCTGCGTTCAACATTCTAAAAAAAAAAAATTTGATCGTTTTCTCAAACGTCACAAAGAGCGTTAGAGATACCCGCTCTGATACAAATTGTTAGACAAGGCGTGCACCTCTAAGGGGGGTGAATAGAGTTGTTGAGAATGTTTACCGATTTTTGCAGGATTAATAATATAAACGTAAGTGCAGCGGAAATAAAAGAGAGAAGGCAAAGAACACACCGATGTATACTGGTTCACCAGTATGTGGCTAGTCCATCCAGTTCCCCGAGAGACTCTCTCGAAGCTACCACTACTTCCGTTAAGCTTACGGGTGCTTAACAAACCGTTTACAACTCGAGAACTTGAATCCCACAAGCCTCGTCACAACCGCTCGTAGATATGCCCTCTACAAGACTTTACAACCAAGACTTAAGTCACATAAGTCTTGAACAACAAGAAGAACAATCTTCTTCAACCTCTCAACAATAGCTCTCAAAAGAGTAGGAAAGAGAAATGATTAAAGCTCTAATGGATGACAAAACACTCACTTGAAAACACTTGGTTTTCTCTCAAAATAATATAAATTTGAGGAAAGATTGATGGAGGATTAACACCTCAAGAATGGGGAGTATTGGAGTGTTTCTTGTTATGAAAAATGACCAAGGAAGAGTGTTTTTATAGAGGAAAAAGAAATAAATCCGTTGGAAGTAGGGAAGGCTGATTTTGACAGATAAAAGACGTTGGGGATCGATCCAGGGCTGAGGATCGATCATCTGGAGTAAGCCAACGAAAATAAATTTCTGTCAAAGCTTCGGGGGATCGATCCACACTCAAGGATCGATCCTACGATCAATTTTGGAAAGACAAGATGATCGATCCATGCACTTGGATCGATCCGGTCTCGGATGACTCTGCACAGGTGATCGATCCAAAAAGGATGATCGATCCCCTAACTAACAATGGCAAAACAAGGAGGACCCAAAGCATGTGTGCGAGTAGGGAGTACAATTGGAGCTTAATGTTTTGTTTTAGACAACAATTTGAACATGATAAGGCTCCCATAAACAAACAAGTCAAATGAGTTGAAAAGAATTAATTCAAATTCAAGATTTGAATTAAATAATGAATTTTTGTGTAGAAAATGAGTCCCAAAAATATTTTGTGTGTCAAACGATGTACACGAAAAATATTTGAATAAAATATTTTTGCTTACCAAAAATATTTTATAATATCAAAATAAATATTTGATAAATGTTTGGCACACTTTTTGTAACTCACTCAATAAAACTATTTGAACAGTTAAAAAGATTTTTCAACTGACTCCAAAAATAAATATAATTTTTATTTTAACTCTCATAAAAATAATTTTGAGAGAAGATATTTTTGTCATCCTTACAATAATTCCTAAGACTCAAATAAATAAAAGTCTTCGGAAATCTTCTACTCCTCCGAGTCCTCCGTTAGGCGCTCCGAACGCGTCTCGGACTTCAATAAAATCATGTGCACCATCTTGAATACTTCAAGGAATGGCACTTCAAGTCTTCGTGTGTGTCGTTGTAGCACTTTCATCTTGACTTGAATAAAGTGTGTTTGTCAATTATCAAAACCTGTGAGTCAACACTTAACAACACAGAAAGGGTTGAACTCATGCATTCCAACATAACCTTCTAAATCAATAAATCAGTGTGAATTCAATGAGTAAATGTGTTCTTATTCTATTTCTTTATATTCTTTTATAGATTGTAAATTATTAGAGCCCATTTGTGTAAAAATTGTAACTCACACTGCTATAATTTAGTTTGATTAATTTAAATTTTAAAATGATAATTTATAATATTTTTAATATAATTAATAGTATGAAACACGATCTTTAGTGTTAGTATTTTTAGATGTCTGAATGGACTGTTTATTTCAGCCTCTTAATGGTTCAGATGTCTGAATGGTTTAGCACTTAATGGTTCAGACTGTTTGTTTCAGCCTCTTAATGGTTCAGAAGTCTAAATGGCTCAGACATTTGCCTCTGAATGGTTAAGTATTATACAGAGTCTGAATGGTTAAGACCTCTTATCTGAATTGATCAGACATTTACCTCTGTATAGTTAAGCAATATACTAGCTCTTAATGGTTCAGACCTCTTACTCGTTCAGCACTTAATGGTTCTGACTTCTTACTGGTTCAGCACTTACCTACTCAAAAGTTGCCAAACAGCCCCTAACTCTATTTTTTTTGTCTAAAAAAATTTACACTTTATCTATTTTCTACTCTATTTTTTTCTTTTTGAAATTTATTCATTTTCATTTTATAAATGAACGATTGACTCATTATTTGTCTATTTTCAATTATTTCATTGACCTCGTACAAATGGAGAAATGGAAAATTAGAAGTTACTCGGAATGGAAAATTCATTGACTCTATGACATTCTTGTAGCTTTTTCAAAATTCAAAATTTTTTCGACTTACTCCGGAGTATATTTTAAGATATACGGACTAAAATCAAGCAAAAAAAGTAGAGTACGTAATACCTTGCAACTTAAATTGGTAATTACCTATTTTGATCCAAAATACCTTGTAATAGCTTTGGATTTAAGGAGATGGCAGGGCGGAATTTTTCCCTTTTAAAAAGACTTTGATTTAAGAAGGAAAAAAGATTTAATTTTCCTAAATGCTATAAAAACATACCAATCAAAGATGAAGTAAATTTGGAAGGAATTCTCTAATTTTCCTAGGCCACATAACATGTCAATTATTGCCACATGTCAAATTCTTGTATTACCAAATTTCACTTTCTCAGAATCCAAACTCTCAAATTTTATATTAAAGCATTCAAACCGGAATAGAAGTGTATATATAAATCATATTCTCCATCTTAATTTAAGTACTTGTTATTTACGAAGTCAAAGTTCAATAATTTTCTTACAAATTTTTATTACACATTTGATAAAATAATATAATAATGTCAACAATTATTTTCAATAATTTTTATTTAATTTTTAAGTATGTTACATTTATTTTTTAATTATAACCCTAGTTGATATAAATTTGAATAAGACAAAAAAATAAATTTAAATTATTGAAAACCCACCTCAAGCTCATCCATTTAAACCCAGCCCTAAGATATTCCAACCCATTAGTATTCCTAGCCCATTTAAAATGAGCTTTAAACACCTTCCGTCTTTTTCCTTTTCATATTCCGCCTCCCTCACTCACTCACTCCCCCCCCCTCTCTCTCTCTCTCTCAAATCTCCTCTATTCTACCCCTTTCAATTTACATTCCTAATACTCCCTCTGTCCTCTCGTTTTTGTCTACTTTTGACTTTTGAAATTGTTAATCTAAGCACTTTGACTCATCAAATTCTCTCAATGTGTAAGCATAAATATAGTCATGTGTGATCTTGTTTGATTTGTCTTAACATATAGATTATTAATATATAATTTTTAGAGTAAATTCTATAATTGGTCCTTTATAACAGTGGGGTTTCCCTATTTAGTCCTCTATTATTAAATATTATCCCAGTGGTCCTTCTTTTATGGGTATCTTTCCATAAATAGCCTTTTTTTATCTTCAATCATGTTGGTGTTAATTTGAGGGCTAAAAGTGTAACTTCACAATGATAATATATCTTTTTTGTCATACATAATTCCAAAAGATATTCCGTTTGCATTGTTTGTGAATTACAATCGCTTTCTATTACAACCATAGTCTACAAATGTGGCCTTTCGTCAGAATCCTAGCCCACAATCAAAGTCATTATTTTTGTGTTATCTGCTTAACCAATATCAGAACACGTTACTAGACATAATGTTGATGTCAAATTATACTTTTCGCCTTTAAATTAACACCAACACGGCAGAAGATCAAAAGAAGGACCATAGATGACTAAATATGGAAAACCCCCTGTTATAAAGGACCAATTATGGAATTTACTCTAATTTTTATAATTTTTTAATATACAAATTACAAAATAAAATGGATTAAAGAAATGCATTGGATGGTGTGTAAAAATGAAAGTGGACAACAACTAGGGGACGGAAGGAGTATATAATTTTACTTGTTTGTAGAAAAGAAATCATCCACAATAGCACCCTACCTATTTTAAAATACATAAATAGCACTCCCAACCTATTTCCTACATCTTTAGCACCTCTAACGTCATAACCCTTTTGTACTTTTCCAATTTTAGCCTTTTCAATCCTTTCTTTTCTGTAACCTGCACCGAATGTGAAGTGAGTCCTACGCATAGCTTTCGCCCACTTTCCCCTTCACCTGCGTTAATTGTGGAGGGAGTTATTCATCGGCCGTTACAACCTCGCCTAATACGACGCTGTCAATGATGTTTTTCCCACCTCCAAACGCATATAATCTCAGGGAGGGTCCTCGCCGGCTACATCAACCGAAACAATCTAGGTATAGGATTCTCCTTCCCGATTCCAGCGGGAGACGCAGATTTCTAAAGAATTCGCCGGAAGCTTACACCGCCGAGTCCAGTGAGTCACGCAGGGTATGTATTTGCAGCGTATCCATCACACATCGTCAGACACTTTCCTCATTTGATTTCATCTATTTTTTTGGTTTAATTTCTTTTCATTTCCCCCAAATTCTGATTTTCTGTCAATTCTTTGAACGTATTCTGTCTATTGCTCTATATCAAACCCTTGATTGTATACTATGTTCTTCTTATCCTCCAATGTTAAGTTAACTCGAAAAAATTTCTCTTTTTGTTCAATACCATTTTTATATGGGTTGTATGGATTTTTGATCCAGTTTAAGTATGCAGTGTTGCATATAAAAAAACTCACACTTACTTGCATTACACTTCTACCAATTCCCAATCGTAACTTCACACTTTTCTGCATCTCATTGAAAAAAGTCAATGACATGCAAAATGTTATTTCTTGTCAATTGCATTCTTTTTTGGGAGTTCATAGCTATATGTTAAGTCTTAGAAGGTCTAGTATTTCACCCACTGTGATGCTCTCTTCACAGGAAAAAAAACCGAATCATTTTCCTCAATGTTTCTGACCATGTGATTTTTCTTTGTTCAAGTATCAACAAGCATGGATTCACATATTAAGGTATTGGTGTGTGTCAATGGAACGTGGGATACCCATGGAAATTTCAGTTCAAAGTACGACACTATTATCGATGTCTGTTGCGAGGCCACTCTCAATTCACTCATGGACACTGTTAAAGCACACATTCCTATGGACTGGTCTCAAAATGATGTGCGTTTATCTTACATGGTTGCCTTGTGTCCACCGCCTATCGTTATTTCGGATGATGCTGAACTGCTCTTCTACTTGAGGTTGAAGTCTTACCAAAATGACATGTCATACCTGCCATTATGCATGGAGGTTTTACCTACTGATCCAGTACGTGACATGTTTGCTCAAGACATTTCCTCATATGATCCTGTTCCCGCCAGTAACACGTGCTACACTACACAAACTCTGGCGTGCACTCCCAACCTAACGGGGCAAAGCAACACAAACAACATGTCCGGCAAAACCTCTAATGGAAACACTGATCCCTCCAACAGTATGAAAAGAACCAATCGAACCAAACGCAGGAGACCTTCTGCAAAACCAGATGATGTAATTTCACACTATCACCCGACCACTCTTCAACTTGACAGCATTTATAAGTCCAAGGAAGACTTATGCCACCATCTACAAATGTATGCCATATCTAATAGCTTTCAGTACAAGACAAAGAGGTCGAATAGATCCGTGTTGCACGTTGTATGCATTGATGACCGCTGTTCATGGGCTGTGCGTGCGGTCAGTCTTGACAAATCTCCATTATTCCAGATACGGAGGTAACCTCTAATTTTAGTACATTAAACTTTAATGCAAACATAACACGACAGACCACAATGTGCACTTACTTCCATATGTAATCCACTCATCACATTTGTGCATTCATAATTACACATCCCCCTAACATCCTTATACACTGCCAAAAAATGTGTAATTGTGATGGAAGTATGATGGAAGTATAAAAAACACACACCAATGCATTACACTGCCATTGTCCATTTTCCCAAACTAATATGATGGGCAGTGTGCACACATTTCCATATTCCTCTCTGGCACCACACGCTCATTGTCCATTTTCCCAAACTAATAACATACACATCACCAAGATAGAAGGCAGTCTTGGAACCCCCCACCCCAAAACTCCATGCCTTTTTCACACATCACCGCCCCTCTATGCCTACATTGCCTTCATCCTCACCAGTAAATTTAAGCACAACAAACACTCAGGCATTTAACACACACTTTTCATAAAAGTCTGCCCACACACATGTGCACTCTAATTTTGTTATCTAAGAAAAACCTCGTCATTCATTAATGTGCAGATCTTCTCCTAGACATAAACCCGTTACTTCACATCACACTTTTCTGTATAACCAGACAGCCCACGGATCATGTGATAAATTGTTTTTTCCCAGGTTTGATTCAGATCATTCATGCTCTGTTGACTTCCGTGAAGGTGATCACAGACAAGCAACGTTAGCATTCTTAGCCGATCTAGTCCTACATCGTTATGTAGATGCTACCAGAAAACAGTACCCTCCTAATGACATACAACACGACATGCGTCGGGAGTTTGGCATTGCAATGTCATACAGGAAAGCACTACTCGTGAAACAGAAGGCATTGAAGAAGTTGTATGGCTCCGATGAAGATTCATACCACATATTACCATCTCTTTGCTATATGCTGGAGACGAAGAACCCTGGCTCTTCCATAAATCTGTATAGGACCGAAGATCCGAGATTCAAATATTTGTTCTTCTCTTTAGCACCGTGGAGACAAGCATGGAATCATTGTGCCCCAGTTCTCGTCATAGATGGAACATTCATGAAATCTTATTACAAAGGAACACTACTAACTGCTTGCTGCCAGGATGCCAATAAACAGCTCGTCCCCATAGCCTTTGGAATATGTGAATCAGAAGATAAGGACTCCTGGCTGTGGTTTCTTAGTCAATTGAAAACCACCCTGACCCCAAGGCATGATCTTTATATTGTCTCTGACCGTCACGAGGGGATCATTCATGCTGTTCAAAACGTTTTCCCGAACGCAGGTCACGGTTATTGTACCGAACATATAGCTCGAAATTTGCGTGTTAAATTTAAAGGTCCTAAAGAAGACCTAACTTGGAAGTTTAGAAAAGCATCACGTGCACCAACCGAGGTGGAGTGCGAGGAATACCTTCAAATGCTGGATGAACAAGACTACCGAATACGTGCATACCTCAACCAAATTGGTCAAACAAAATGGGCACGATTTAAAAGTGGCCCATTCCGCTACTCTGTAATGACTTCAAATGCCGCAGAATCAATGAACACCGTCAACAACTCGGCATGTGAATACCCCATTTGCAAGCTAGTTGATTTCATTCGTGAAAGGATGCAGAAATGGTTTCATGAACGGTTTGAAACAGCCTCATCTACATCAACTATTCTACCAAAGAACCTTGAGTCTGAATTAATTACGTTACAACGTGATGCATTTAAGATGAAGGTATATATTCCTTACTCAGTCATACACTATAATTTGTAAATAATTCATATATAATGCAAACACCCCCGGTATATGATTTTACATTGCATGTCACTAACACTCCAAACTGTTTGTAGGTTAAGCCATCTTGCCCATACGAGTTTGAGGTTGTTGACCGGTGGACCAGAACTTTCGTGGTTAACCTGAGAGACAAGTCTTGTACATGTGGGGATTTTCAATTGGACCATTTTGTATGTGTACACGCTGTGGCAGCAATAGGATCTCGTCCAGGTCTATCGTGTTATAATTTCATCTCACCTTACTACAAACGCCAAGCATTGGTAGCCACCTACAGCGGAATTGTGCATCCATTAGGTGACAAGTCTACGTGGGACATCCCGACCGATGTTAAATCACTAGTTTGCAAGCCCCCATCATGCACCAAGCGCCCTCCAGGAAGGCCGAAGAAGAGGAGGCTACCGTCCGTTGGTGAATTCCACACCGGAAAAGGACGGAAAAAGCAGAAGTGCACACGGTGTTTGAAGATGGGATACAATATAAAAACATGCAAAAACCCTATACCAACTTGACAATGTTTATTATTCATTAGATGTCTGCGTTGCAATATCTAATATCCTTCCACATCTCTCCAAAGAAAACACATACATGTATTTCTTATGCAGCCATTGTCTGGTTAAGAACTTCTTGAAAGGTGGCATTTTTATTTCTTTAATAAAACATATGATATACAACTTCATTACCAGAGTTTAAAAAACTAGCCATGTACAGCAACATTTAAAAACATATGATGAGTAGCAGGCAGTGTAGTTTTCGAGCAGAATTGTGTAGCAGGCAGTGTAGTTGGTTGAGCATTGATGAGTACCACGCAGTGTAGTTTTTGAGCAGTATTGTGTAGCAGGCAGTGTAGTTCTTCGAAACAGTAATCTTCAGCACGCAGTGTAGTTTTTGAGCAGTAAGGTGTAGCAGTCTGTGTAGTTGTTTGAAACAGTAATCTTCAGCAGGCAGTGTAGTTGGGTTTATGTGTGTGCAGTGCAATGTTTAAAGGTTACTGTGGGCGTCTATTTTTAAACGAAAAACTACACTGCCTGCTACTCAACAATGATCAAACAACTACACTGCCTGGCTCACATTAGCCCACATAATACTACTCCAAAAAAATCTATAACATGCTCTCTCAATACCAATGTAAAACGACCCCGAATATCTAGCCAAATCACATGGAGGCAGTGGCCCCGTGATTACCTACAACAACTCTCATGCAGGCATTGAGACACTGCACGGTTTTACAAACATAACATCGACATTGACACAAACATCAACAAATTGTTCTCAGAACTACCCACTGACAATAGCCGAACTCCAACGTCACCCTGTAGTCAGTCCCAAAACTACCCACTCTAACAGAGAGAACCCCACCCCTACCCCTTTTGTAAACCACCCACAATACCATAACCACAATGCCAAACCACCATGACACAACTCCCCCCACTTGTGGCTAAATAACCTACCCTTCCAATTACATACATCCAAAATCACCTTTGACCCCCCTCCTGGCTAAAAACCGTACACTTCCATTACCACTCTTCCATACTCACCAAAGCCCACCACCCCCCATGTGTGAATAATTTACACTTCCAATGCCCACCACACCAGAGGAGGTATGTCGCTTCTAAAACGCAACACAATTCTCACAACACACACTTCAATGGTGTCAATCATCTAATCAGCAAAACCATACACCGTGTACAAATGCGACTGGAGCGCACACTTACCAAATTATAAACTGGCCAAGGAAACGGTTACCCTACAAAATACTTCCGTGTACAAAACACTGACAACAAACGACGTAAAAATAATAATAAATGCAAGCCCACAATGTCAAAAAATAATGTAACAATGCAAAATCACAACCAAAAGGTCTTACACCAGAACATGAAAACACATGACAGTGTCGTCCCCCATAAATATCGATAACGAAAGCCATAAACTAACCCACACGCACAACATTATCCTCGACACCAATCCCATATATCATTCTGAANTGACAACATCACACTGAGGAAAACTACACGAAAACACTAACTGTCACCGGCTCTCACTTTTTGCTCATTACTGTAGGCAATGAGCTCCGTGGTCATCTTCTCCCGGTATCCCTTCATATCACGTGAATGCACTTCAGAAATGTTACCGTCCATCATCAAGTACTCCGCAAACTTCAACATGAACATTCCACAACTGAACCTGCATTTTAACATACAAACTTTAACGATACTAACCATGTCGCTATTATTAATAAAAAAATGCAACACCAAACGATCAATTAAATTCATAAATTTACCACATACCCGTCATCTTGCTGGGGACACCCATCAACCACACTGATAGAGAACTTACGTTTTCCCATCAGCCCATCTGAGTGCTCTTTGTACACACCCAATAAATCCACCAGTACTGGCAGCAACTCTGTTAAACATTGCATATATTCACTCAACGACCGGAAAGCATTTCCCTTCCTTCCTTTCGAATCGTATACCCGTATAGTCCTTCCTTCAACCTCTAGGACCAGCAATACCCAGTGGTCGCCAATGCTCAGGGGCATATACACGAAGTCACACTCAACCCATGGTCTAGAATATTTTCGTACCAATCCTTTCACCTCACTAGTTAGATTCCGATTACTGATGACCTCTTCCTTCTTGGCCTTTCCAACATTCACCAACTCTTGATGTGTATGCAGCCCTTGCAAGAAAAACGGGGTTGTAGTTGTGTACATCTGTATTAGGTCATACTGCCTGCCCTTCACCTCTAGGAAATGCATTGCTATCTCAATATGCTGTATATCAATTCAGTCCCCATATGAGTCAAAAATAAAAAAAACACCCATTAGCTTTCACATACATTTAATTAATAAGGATCACACTGCCATTACAGTGATCCCAACACTTATTCACACAATGCCCTTACCGGAACAAAACAAAACCCACTTCCTTTTATTTACCAATCTACATGCCCAGAAACCACGACGGTCAGTGTTAAAACGATCTACAACCATTATACTGCATCTATCCAATCAAGTAACTCAACTGTCATCTGTACGTACCTAGAATCCTTCACCTCAATTGACTCAAATACTACGCAATGTCCCTAATAAAACCACTCACAATGCCACAGTACTATTTAAAAAAAACATAAACATTCCTAAGTAATTCCCAAAAAAAATCCCACTCACATCATCTCACGGACACTCAAAGAAAACCCAAATTCTAAAACATGCAACAGCCACAGAGTTTATTTCAAACTTACACAAAATTAAACAACCAATAAAACACAAAAATAAAACATACCGTGCTGCGCAACCACTCTGTGCTTGTAAACAGCTCATACAACCATGTCTTGCTCTCCACTTTAAAACCATCTAGGTCAATTGGATTTTTCTTCATGTTCTCCACCTTGGATGTATACCTACACGTCGTATTACCCCTTCCGTGACGTTTCAACAAGCCCTCATTCAAAAATTGCCTCACCTTCTCTATCTCCTCAGCTGCAGGCATCTTCTTCGGATCCTCTGAAAATGGCCCATAGCACACGGCTGTCCTTTCACGGTTTAGACATTGCCTATCATGATCCGTCTTTTCAAGCTTACGCCTTTTCCTGTCTTGCTCAGCCTCAGAGGGAGTATATCTCTCTGGATTTTTGTGAACCCTTTTTGGGCGTTCAATCTCAACACATGCATTGTTCGAAGTGGAAGCCAAAGAACCCGCCTGATCAAAAAAAAAAATTCAAAACATCGCAGGGACAGAATGTGATCAGACGCGCATACACAAAGACACGGGGGGTACATTAACACACCACCGGGTATTACTGCCCACAATTATAATATTCATAACAAATTTTAACATTAAAATTACACTTAAATAAACTAACCGCCACAGGGTGTTGATCACCCATCTCTTTCTGGCCCACACTTCCCACACGGCTGATAGTAAATATTCTGTCAAAATCATCGTCACCCATGTTAACCCTCTCTTCGCATCCAGGGACATGCTGCACCACTTTCAACCTGTTCGAACCACTCGACCCCTGTAAGGTTACAGCGTTAAATACTTAGTGCGACAAACGGAAATTTCAATTCAGGTTAAACACATCTGAAAACCCACACCACCCCGTGTAAATATTATTCATTTTCCCAAATATATGTACACATATGACTAACCCCAACTGCAGCATTAACGTCTAACGTTACTTGCCCATCAGTAGGCATTGTACAGTCGCCACGTTTCATGCCCGAGTCATCACCACCATCAGTTTCCTTGCATTTCCCATCATCTTCAACGTTCGACTCAACCCCAACACAAGAATCTTTAGGAACCTGCCATTCCAAAACAATTACAACTGAAATATCATTCTGCCAAATTTACAGACTACTTTAATCTGCCTAAAAAACAGCAGTATAAGAAATCAACACTTTACACTTCTGGCGTTATGTATACAGTTAAGCGCCCTTTCCGCTACTCTGTTAATGCGATCTAGCTCAAGAGGATCATATTGTGTCTCCGTGTAGGGAATGTCTAAACACTTGCTTTGTTTTTCTGCATCACACGCTTCTGCTACCAGTGACGCCTTTGCAATTATATCATCTTGCACGTCATCACAAACTGCATCTACTTTAGGCATTGGTGTCAGAAGATCGAATGATGGACCACCAGCATCAAAACTCAACTCAATGTCATCTCCACATTTGACTCCAACCTTCGTATTCCCCCCACTACCAAAACCTCCCTCCTGGACCTTCACTTCCTCACTGCCTTCCATCAAGGACCCCTTCCCAGACGCAGAACCACCTTCAAGGGATGCAGTTTTTTGACGAAGAATGCCTAAAATTTCATCAAGCTTCTTGTCTTGCGCCGCCTGTTTCTCCTTGATATCTTTAATTTCATCAACTAGCCTCAGGTGATCACAAGCCTTAGAACCCACACAGTCCCTCTTTCCAGAACGCCCTCCCAAATTATACCCTTCTATACCACTGCCCCCCTCAAGCTTCACATCTCCATTACCAGGTGCCACCCCTTCAGACTTCATTTTCCCCAACGCTTCTCGTATATTCACCTGCTTTTCCTTGACAGCCCGAACCCTTTTGGAAGCACTCAATGACAACTTCCCTTTCCCTTTCACCGTTGAACTGATCTTTTCCTTGAACATCTCTTTAACACTCTCCAAAAGCATCTCCGCATCAGTAGGTTCAACTACAGTCACTTGAAGCTGGAAGTGAAAAAACAGTATTAGGGACAAAACTTAAGTAAAAAAAACCAAACCAAAATCAAGAATGAAACAAAACCACTAACCTTCCCAGACTTAAATAGTGCTTCAGAAACCTTTGCAGCGTTGAACTTTGCACAAACTTTCCATCTTAAACAGCGGGGTATTGAATTCACCCTTCCAGGATCTAAGACACACATCCCGGCCTCCGCCAGCGATGGGAATGTCTCAAAAGCCCATACCTGTAATGCAAACATGTACCCTCCAAACGTTGGCCGTGTGCTACCTCCCTTTTCAATGCACACTGCACACCTATACACGTGATCAACTAACTCGGACCACACGTCATCCCCCCATGGGTACCTATCGAACTCATCCAGATCATCTACCAAATTAAGATAACTCATAGGCAAATTCACAGATGGCTGGTTTCCAAGAAACGCATTTGCCAACATATATATCAGAGACATCTTCAGGGCATCATTTGGCATTGTACCCGCCACATCACGATCGAATTTAAGAAACGCATTGCTGATCTCTCTTCGCTTAACTGCTTTGCTGCCGCGAAAATACCTTGATGCAAACCGACCACTCACACCATTGTCCATTTGCCCTCTCAAACCGCCCATTTTCAATCCAGTAATAAGATGGAACTGCGCCTTTGTCAATACCACCTCATGTCCAAGGATTTTGAATTTTAGATCGTCCTTCCTTCCACCACCATTAGCAGATCTCACACAGTTCCCTACTAGATGTATTAGTAACTGCCCGCTTATCCAAGGACATTCCAAAACATCCAAAATAGCACCAAATGGTGAAGACCTGAACCTGTTAATCTCCTCCTGAGTAAGTTTCGCTCTAACTTGTCTTGCAACTTCATTAACGTTGCAGTACGTGTTGATCCTCCCATCAAGTAAGCCCCCTTTATCCACCCGTTGTGCCTCCTAAACAAAGTAGAAAACACACATAAGTACTACACAAACTAATTACCCAAAACAAAGTGTATGACACACATGAAAATCATCGAATCAAAAGAATGGCATACACTGCCTTCCAATGTCACAAACCCCCCCCCCCCTCAAATTTGCACGATGACTTGCTACACATGGTTTCAACCAAACCCAAGTATGATGGAAGTATAAAAAACACACACCAATGCACTACCCAATGTTGTCCACACTTTAGTCTCTCGAAAATTAAAAAACATAATAAAAAACCTAGAACTGCCGGAACAATGCACACACCCAGAACCATAAAAAATCCACGCATTTAATAACATATTACACAAAAAACATGTTTGTCACAAACAGAAATCTTCCAATGCCACACAGAATCATACACCTCAAAAAGAACTCAAAACTTGAATTTGAACTAATAATCTATCACAGCCTACTTCCTTTACAAAACATACACCGCCATTTAGAGGTACAAAACACACATTCCCTTTGACATTATCCATTCATTACAACCACAGACACTGCACAACATCACACACGGCCAAAAAAATAAAACAAAAATGCACAACCACATTCAACCAAAATAAAAACAACAGAATTACTTCAAGGCATGTGTAGAACAGATCCATAACTAATAAAGTCCCAACACACTGCAAGAATCAAACCCCAACAACTCAGTTCAACTACCGGAGTAGCCAATTACATCTGACAGAAAATTCGGCTTTGCACACCAAATCACAAATTTTTAATCCATTAACCCTGAAACTCAAATTAAATTAAAAAAACCCCAAAATGAAACAAGAAAAGAAACTAGAATACACACATGCATACTGCCACAATTGAATCTTTACCAAAATATAATTCCATAATCGCACTGCAAAACCCCAATTGCAAACAAAATAAACAGAAGCATTACTTCAATGCATGATAAGCACAGATCCATAACGTATAAAATCCCAACCCACTGCAGGAATCAAACGCCCAACCAATCTGTCCAACTACCACACTAGCCAACTATATCTAAGTGAAAAATAGACACTGCACAACAAATGACAAATTTCAAATCCACTACCCCCAAACCTCAAATTAAATATACACACCCCAAAATGAAACAACAAAGAAACCTTAATAGACACATGCATACTGCCAAAATTGAAACTTTACCAACTTATACTTACAAAGTCGCACTGCCAAACCCCACATGAAAACACAATATATATAAAAAAAAAGAATTACTTCAAGGCATGTGTAGAACAGATCCATAAGGAATAAAAACCCAACCCACTGCAAGAATTAAACCCCCAGCAAATTTGTTCAACCACCAAAGTAGCCAACTATATCTAAGAGAAATAACGGCAATACACATCTAAGGACAAATTTGAAATCCAATACCCCCGAAATTCAAATTAATTATATAAACCCCAAAATGAAACAACAAGGATACCTGAATACACGCATGCATACTGCCAAAATTGAATCTTTAACAAATTTAAATCACATAAACACACTGCCAAACCCTACCTTAACCTTCTCCATACGCTTAATCAGTGGAATTTCATCCATTGTATCATCCGCTGACAAAGCATGACTACCACGGTCCAAAGCCTCCTCGTTCGCCATTGCAATCCTCACACTGCGCCTTCTCACCGGAACCGAACTTCCAGGGGTCGCAAGCTCCCTATACTTCATGTCTCTCGGGCCTAATACGGGGAAGTGCGAAAGAGCAGCCGGATTTTTCGACCTCAAAAACCGTGAAGCATGCAACAGCTAGAAAAGCGTATCCGGCGCCTGATTATCCGTCCTCTGAAATCGTAACATCCACTGCCAGCATCAAACCAATAAATCTAATTTTAAAAACAAAACAGGGACAAAACGGGAAGTTCACACCATGCTAAATGGCCGGAATCAATTTCTAGAATAACAGTGCTAAATAGGTACTAAATTCATAACATTAGTGCTACAACGGTGCTTTACCCTTTGTAGAATTGTAGGTTTAAGAATGGAAATATCAATAGATGTTTCAGATATTTCCATCGTTTTTTATCGGGATTCGATTGTTTTACGAAGAAATTTTTCTATTTTTTTTATTGTGCATGCTATCATCCTCGGACCAATTCTGATCGAAAGTGATGTTTGCAGGTTTAGGTTGAGCTCGATAATAGTTTTTTTCATACTCCGTAATAATTTGCCTTTTGCTTGTATATATTTTGATCGAGCCGTATATTAAAGCCAGTTCTATGTCTTATGTAGTAGATATGAGAATTCCACAATCATTAATGTTTTAAACAGATGGTGTGGTGTTTATTCATATAGAAGAATAATCTAAGGTAAAGACTTTATTTTTGTCTCTGATTCAAAATTAGAGATCTGAATTATTATGTCACTATGCTGATACTCCTAAATTGTTTTATGGTAGATATTCCACTGTTGACTCATTTTGATAAATAATGCAGGGTAGAAAATAATGATTTATTTTGTTTTAATTCATTACTGGCTTTGAAATATAAATTGAGTACCCTAATAATACTATGTTTTTCTATGTAGGTACAAATTCCATAATTGATAAGTGTAGGTACACTTTGAATTGCTCTTCTGCTTAGAGCACTGAAAATACGTTTGAAGCCCCGAAACTTCAAAATTTCTCTCTCTGCCACGTCAGCTTTAACTTCACTGGAAATGGGTTTGAAACCGGGGCTTCAAACCTTCATTTTTTACATTTTTAAATATATATCTTCTAAAACTAAATTAATAAAATGTAATTAATTTATTATTTAATTATATTGAAACACGAATAATAAAAAAATACATTTATTAAGTTTAAAGAAATTGAAACGACAATAATTTAAAATTTAAAAAATTACATTCATTAAAATAAAAAAACGACAATAATAAAAAAGATACATTAACAAAAAAACTAAGGTAAATTATATTTCACCTTGATCTCTCTTTGTCTTTGCTCGTAGATCATCTGTCTGAAACCCGATAACTTAGAATGGATTTTGCCTTCTTTCTTCCAATTGGCCGTGGAATGGGGTCCTCGTCATCGAAATCCGCAATGTTGAAGGGAGGCATTTGATCGGACGAACCGATAGTGTCGTCGGCCTCAACCTCGGCGTCGACGGAGGATCTTTTCTTTGTCTATCCGCCGTCGGGATTGTTGAGTTGTTGCCACTTCGGGGAACGGCTCAAAATCCTCCAAAGATCGATGGGCACCTTGCCTTGGTGCCCGTCATCTTGATACCGGGTCGTGGCAAGCCGGAGAACATCGGCGTCGTTCGTCCCGCTCCTCCGGGACCGGGCGCATTCCTCGTAAACTCCGATAAACTTTCGGACTTTACGGTTGATGTTGCTCCATTTGGAAGTGAGTTGGTCCCAGGTACGGTAGGAGTCGTCCTTGTTCATCGTCGTGAAGAACTTCTCCTCGATAGGATCCCACATCGCATCCTTCGTTTGCTCCGAACCTTTAAAAAAGTATAACACGATTTTTTTATGACACGATTAAATATAATTTTATATAAATAAAAACATAAATATATTAGAAAACATGTAATTTTTACCAATGATAGGATGCTCGGAGACGTCAACCCAAGCCGACGCCAATAAGCACTCCTCCTCCGGCGTCCACTTTTGGATTGACCGTGCCACCTCGGTCATCGTGCCTTTTGCTTTGTGGCTTTTCCAGCGTGTACTTGTTTTGGAGCCGGATGGTTCCGATTGAGTCTCCGGAACCGAATCTCGCTCGACGTACCCCGATTGTTGCGTCTCGAAGATCGGCGGATGATCCCCGAATTCTTGGAAATACCACATCGCGGCATCGTGAGGCGCGAGATTGTCGGGAAAGAAGCCGGAGCCGGAAGGATTTATGTTCAAAAGAGAGGGAGGAGTTTGAAATTGAAGAATATGTGAAGAAGATTGAAGAAGATTGAAGGAGTGAGAATGGGAGGGGGGGGGGAGTTTGAAATTTATAAAAAAAATAAATTTTTTTTTGTTTACAACGGTTAAATTAGCCATTAGGGGGAGGGGGAGCTCCGTCAAACGAGTGACGCCGAATGAGTGACGCCCGTATCACGCCGATGGGGGGCGGTGTTTAACGCCCCCAACGTTAAAACCGGCGAGTTGGCGTGATGCCCATTACCAGTGGCCTTAGAGCACTGGAAATACTCGTGAAGCCCCGGGCTTCAAACCGGGGCTTCAAAATTTCTCTCTCTGCCACGTCAGCTTTAACTTACCTCACAGATTTAGTGGAAATGGGTTTGAAGCCCCGGGGCTTCAAATTGGGCTTCAAACCTTCATTTTTTACATTTTAAATATATATCTTCTAAAACTAAATTAATAAAATTTGATTATTTTATTAGTTAATTACATTGAAACAAAAATAATTTAAAAAATACATTCATTAAATTTAAAGAAATTGAAATGACAATAATTTAAAAAAGTTACATTCATTAAATTAAAAAAAGAAAGCGACAATAATAAAAAAAGTTACATTAATAAAAAAAACTCAGGTAAATTATATTTGGCCTTGATCTCTTTTTGTCTTCTCTCGAAGATCATCCGTTTGAAGCCCGATAACGTAGAAAGATCGGTTTCCATGATTTTGATCTAGTCCTTATCTTCTTTTCGCTTCATCCTCTCTTATTCTCGAATATTGAACACCAGAAGTTGTTCCATTGCCCGACCGATATCGTCGCGAGAAAAAATGAAACAGAGCCGGACCCTCTAGAACCCGAGGCAATGGATTTTGCCTTCTTTCTTCCGATCGGCCGTGGAATGGGGTCCTCGTCATCGGAATCCACAACGTTGAAGGGAGGCATTTGTTCGGACGAACCGATAGTGTCGTCGACCTCAACCTAGGCGTCGACGGAGGATCTTTTCTTTGACGATCTGCCGTCGGGATTGTTGTGTTGTTGCCGCTTCGGTGAACGGCTCAAAATCCTCCAATCGATGGGCACCTTGCCTTGGTGCCCGTCATCTTGATACTAGGTCATGGCAAGCCGGAGAACATCGGCATCGTTCGTCCCGCTCCTCTGGGACCAGGCGCATTTCTCGTAAACTCCGATAAACTTTCGGACATTACGTTTGATGTGAAGAACTTTCGTCTTTGTTCATTGCCGTGAAGAACTTCTCCTCGATACGATCCCACATCGCATCCTTCGTTTGCTCCGAACCTTTAAAAAAGTATAACAAGAAAATTTTTATATATAACACGATTATATATAATTTTATATAAATAAAAACATAAATATCTAAGAAAATATATAATTTTTACCAACGATAGGATGCTCGGAGACGTCGACCCAAGCCGACCCCAATAAGCACTCTTTCTCAGGCGTCCACTTTTGGATTAACTGTGCCGCCTCGGTCATTGTGCCTTACGCTTTGTGGCTCTTTCGGCGTTGACTTTTTTTGGTGCCGGATGGTCCTGGTTTAGTCTCCGGAACCGACTCTCACTCGACGTACCCTGATTGTTGCGTCTCGAACATCGGCGAATTACTCCCGAATTGTTGCCCGAATTGTTGGAAATACCACATCACGTGCTCGTGAGGCTCGAGATCATCGGGGGAGAAGCCGGAGCCGGTAGGATTCATGTTCAAAAGAGAGTTGGAGAATTGGAGAATTGAAAAATATGTGAAGAAGATTGAAGAAGATTGAAGGTGTGAGAATGCGAGGAGGAGAAGTTTGAAATTTATAAAAAAATAATTAATGTTTTCTTTTTTTTGCTTTCAACGGCTATATTAGCCATTAGGGGGGGATTAAAGCGTCAAACGAATGACGCGGGTGCTGTGACGCCGAGGTGAAGCCCCCCAGGGGGGCGGTGTATAACTCCCCCTAGGCGTGAAAATGCAACTAACGCCGCTCGGCGTTACGAGTAGTACCACTGCTCTTAGCACTATTGGTCACCAAAGGTATGTTAGTTCTATAATATGTTTCCTATGAGTTGGCATTATTTTTGACAACACACAACCACTAGCATAGACTAGGTGTAGTGTCGTTATGATAGTAGAATTGGTCATCCTACATGTAAGCCTTCCGAAACTAGGATGGTACGGAGGAAGGGATGAGCTCAGAGCATGACTTCTTTCCTTTCAGGTCTCTGCCTGCTCTAATACTCCTACTGGCCCAGGACTTTGTTGATTTAAGCATGCTTACGAAGGAGTCCTATGGGCAGCTGGTTAGGGTTACACCCTATGGAAGTCTATGTTTAAATAAGGCATTCCACAGGTGGGTTTGCGGTGAGAAAAACATAGAGATATTATGCTAACAAGAGAGAAGAAACTCTGCATTCTTCCATCACAAAGAAGAGTGAGAGAATGGAGCTTATCATATACACATACGTGAGGTCTCAATAAGAAGATCAGCCATGGATCTTCTTTAAGGTTTGTTCAGCTGGTGAATCGTGCGAGGCTGAGCAAAGGTCAAGACACATCCTTATTGCAGAGCAACGAGAAGGTGTAATAGGCCTGGAGTGACACAAACAGAGTTTGGTGTTTGATCACGTAAGTAGACAAATCTATTCAATAGAAGGATCTGTTGAAGATTGATTGTGTAATTCTTATGTTGATCTAGTAGAAAGGCTATTACACGGATTTGGGCCTCGTAGACGTAAGAGAGTTTGCTCCAAACTGTGTAAACAAATCTCTGTGTCTTTACTTGCTTTTGGTGTGTGTTTGGACTGGTGTTAGAAAAGGTGTTGTAGCGTTCTGTAAGTCTGGTAGTTGATCTACAACGCAATTTCCAACATCTTTTAGTTTGTGTTAAGTGTGAGTTTATCTAGTTTATATTCTGTGCTGGGTGTGTGGAAATTTTAATTGGTATCAGAGCCTGCATAACTTAAGCTACTAGCTATCGGTCACATCATGGGAGACATGGAAGAAGGTGCAAATGTGCAGAGACCACCTTTGTTGCGTGGACACATCTACAATTTCTAGAAGGGACGAATGAGAGTCTTTCTCAAATCTCTTGGAGGTGGTGTTTGGAGAAGTGTGGAAACTGGATGGTCTGAACCTCTCAAATATTCTGAGGACCTGACTACATCAACAGTCAAACCGTTCGAAGAGTATAGCAGAACAGAAGCCATTGCTGCTGAGTATAATGACAAAGCTTTAAATGCAATCTTCGGAGCAGTAGATTCTACCCAGTAATATGCCATGAAGTGAATGATTCCTACATCATGCTTCTACGACATGCATGATGATATGAATGAATTTAC